AACTGCCTTTTCTTCTTCCGCGCACACAGCACTACTACTGCAGACTACTACTGCTTTCTTCTTCCGCGCACACAGCACGACTACTGCCCACACACAACACATCGTACACTTCGTACGCACGGCACACACACACAGGCTGCGGGCGGGCCGGCAGAGAGCCGCCGCTACAGCCGCCGCTAGGCGACTGCGAGGGCAGACACCACAACAGCGGGCGGTCAACCGAGAGAGAGAGGCTGCGAGGCGCCAGCGGCAAACACCACAGCAGCTGGCGGATAACCGAGAGAGAGAGGCTGCGAGGCGCCAGCAGCAGACACCACAAGCGACAGAGGCCAGGTGTGGTGTGCATTGGTGTGGTGTGCATTGCATGCATAAAAGGTTGTTGGTACCCAGCATTTTTGGAATTTGCAAAATACTTTTCGCCGCATGTCAACTTCGCATGGTCCACACGCACGCATCACGCTGCCTTTCTTTGCAGATCACGCATCACGCTGCTGCCTTCTTTGCAGATTACACGTTGAGACTAACCTCACGGGCCCCACTTCGCAGGCGTGCAGCGGGTAGAGAACGGGCAGCAGCGGCCAGAGCCGCGGCCAGAGATGCCGAGAGGGCCAGGCGAGAGAGGGAGGCTAATGTGAAGCGGAGAGATCTTGCGGAGTTTCACGCTGCTAGGCCGCTGGAAAAGTTGGGTTGGGCCAGATTAGAGATGCAAACGAATTTCCAGCAGCCCATGACCGCCCGGAGGATGCACGTGTGCACAGTGTGCTCTGAACGTTGGGACACCGCAGAGGACGGACCAGGGGACGGACCAGGGGACGGAGGTGCCGTCTACAGGTGGGTGGTCTTTCGTGTTCAAACGTGTCGACATGAACGTGTCGGCTTGGTGCATCACGTTGCATCATGTTGCAATGTTGCAAAAAAGAAAAGGACCAGAAAAATACACTGATGTATGGAGGATACCATATGCCTGGGAAAAGAAAAATGGAAAAAAGGAAAGTGGATAGAAAAATGCATGAGCAGGGATCGAACTTTGGTCGGGATATTCATAATTTGCATACCTACCGCATATGCCAGGTGCTCTCCACTGATGTTGGCAACGGCCCTCACGTTACCCTTCTATACCCCACCACCTGCCGCCCCCACACCCGCTGGTTCGTACAGTTGTCCGCGGTGCAAGAAGGACAAGAAGAGTCCGAAGCTGTTCTCCGCCGACAACACCATGGATCCTGGGAGCGTACCCGTCGAGCTCCAGGGCCTGACCCAGACGGAGGAGATGCTCATCGCGCGGTGCTGTCCGATCATGCGCGTCCTCCACCTCAAGGGCCCGAGCTGCGCTTCGGCGACATGCTGGCAGGGCGGCTGTCTCTTGCCCGCCGAGAGGCCGCGTCCACGGCCGAAGACGACGACGACGACGGCTTGCTCTTAGACCAGCCCGACGATTGGATGGATGGGGCCAACATGCGGCGAAGAGGCGCCGCCAGGGAAGAACAGGAGGTTGACACAAGGTGGGACGCTGAATACAACTGGGCCGGCGCCCGAGCGACTGAGGTCCAACATGAGCTGGAGAGAGGGCCAACGTGGATTGCGAACGCCAAGAAAGCTGCAGCCGGCACTGGCCCCGCCACCGAGATTCCTCATGTGGCTCCGGACTCTCTCAATGAGCGGCAACGCAATTGCTACGACGTCGTCAGGGACCACTTCGAGAACGAGCGCGAGGAGCCACTGCGCATGATGGTTCTCGGGACGGCAGGCACGGGGAAATCATACCTCGTGTATGCCCTCTCCAGGCTGCTCGGCGGCTTCCTTCGACGGGCAGCTCCAACCGGTATGGCGGCCTTCCTCATCGCCGGCAGCACGCTGCACAGCCTCCTCCGACTGCCGGTGAGGCAAGGAAGGAATCTCCAGGGTCAAAGCCTCAAAGCCCTGCAGAATTCCCTTACTGGCGTCAAGTACATCATCATCGACGAGCTATCGATGGTCAGCCAGTCCCAGATGGCGTGGGTCGATCGACGTCTGCGACAAGGGACAGCTGTAGACAAACCCTTCGGCGGAATCTCCCTGATCATGACCGGCGATCTGGGCCAGCTGCAACCGGTGGGAGGAACTCCGCTGTACAAGCAAAACCCAGCTGCCGCGCTCAACGTTGAAGGCTATGCCGCCTACAGCCTCTTCCAGGACGTCTTCATCCTTGACAGAGTTCAGCGGCAGACGGCAGCCGCCGCCAACGACGACGACCAGAGAGGCTTCATCGAACTGCTGCCGCGTGCGCGTGATGGACAGCTTTGCGACGAGGACTGGGACCTCCTCCTGAAGAGACAGCCCAACCGCCTGACCGCCGCTGAGAAAGCGGCTTTCGAGGACGCAACGAGGCTCTTCTACTCCAAGAAAGAGGTCAACAAGTACAACGGCAAGAAACTCCGGGAGCTGGACAACCCCGTCGCTCGTGTTAGCGCCGTCCACACGGGCGCGAACGCCAGGAGGGCGACAGCAGACACCGCGGAGGGGCTCGAGAGGGACCTCTACTTAGCCAAGGGAGCGAAGGTTATGCTCTCGAAGAACCTGTACCAACAAGTTGGGCTGGTGAACGGCATTAGAGGCGAAGTCGTCGAGTTGGTGTGCGCAGATGATGCGCCCCCGCCGAAGCTCCCCCTTTACGTTGTCGTCAAGTTTGAAGGGTACTCGGGGGGGGAATGGTCGTCTCAGGAGAGGTATAGACGTTGTGTCCCTATTTCTCCCGTCGACACCACCTGGCAGGACGGGGGGACGCAGGTCAGGACGCAGCTGCCCCTTAGGCTCTGCTGGGCAATTACGATGCACAAGTCCCAGGGGCAGACTTTAGCCAAGGCCGTCATTGACTTGGGGCCCAAGGAGGCCTGCACGGGGCTTACTTTCGTCTGTCTCAGTAGGGCGAAGAGACTTGTGGACCTCATGGTAGAGCCCATGAGTTTCGACAGGATTGGTAACCTTGGAAATTCGCCGACGATGAAGGCTAGGCTGCAGGAAGAGGTTAGACTTGGGGAGTTAGCACAGAGTACGAGGGTCAAGTACACGGACATGGGCGTCTTCAGCGCCGTCGCGGGTAACCAATGACGTGAATTGCAAAGAGAAAAAGAAGAAGAAAGGGTCTCTTCCACCTCCCGCGGACGCACACGTCTGACGACAGTTACATCTATCAGCTGTCGCTCGTTTTAGCGACAGCTACTATATCTTTTAGTTCTGACCAAACGGGTCTGTATTCCCGGGTGAGTGGGGAGGGCACTGCTACGACACGGCAACCATCCTGTGTGTCTGTAGTCTGTGAATGTACAGTAGTACAGGTAGGAAGCGGATGGGCACGGCCGCAATTATCTCTGTTGAATATTGTACGGCCACATAGGTGCCCAATTGTGCCAACTGTTTTGGCAAAAAAACTACCTCAGGAACCGTTTTCCGCCTACGAAGCACCCGGCACAACACAACGAGAGGTGATGGTGTAGTGATCTGGTGGTGTCCTGCGCCTCTTGTGTACCTTTTAACGTAGCTTACAACATTATCGTCGGTGTATCCATGCTGTATGTATGCATACAGCGAGATGCAACCACCATCCATTGTGGGTAAAGAAATCGGTGGAGAGTTTGCGGTGGTGTCCGGAGTCTCACCTCATCTTCCCACGACACGGGCACGGCCGTCGGAGGGACGCTGCTTGGCAAGTCAAACTCCTCGTCTTCCCAGGAGTCCGCCATTGCTTATTAACCCGCCCACACGTTGCCCTGCTTGCTGTGTGCTGCTCTCTGGGTTCCTCCTCTCCCTGCTGGGTGTGTTGTTCGCGTTTGTCGCCCCCCCCTGAGGCTCGTGGCTAGTCGATATGTAAACAACGTCCTGCGTCCTTGCAATGCTCTACCGCACAGGGGTTAATGCACCACGTGTACCTGGAGATCACCAGCAGCCCAGCAAGCCGAGGTGTCTGTCCAAGCCAACTCTTCTCCAGCCACTGCCGCTATGCCAGTCACCTGTGAGCGCGAAGCACACCGCCAACAGAACGCGTGGGTTGCCTACTGATGGAGCGCCGAAATCGACTCTCGTAAATCACGGCGAAGGAAGAAACAGCGGCGATGAGCGCGTGGCTTCTTCTCCAGAGAAGGTCTCGCGTTGTCTGGTAGCGCAGCAAAGCGTTGTGAGTACTGGGTGTCCCGGAGTGCAAGCCAAGCAGAGCAAAGCCCACGAGCGAGCGCGGAGGAGGGGCGTCGCGGAAAGCAACAGAAAAGCCCTCCCCCCCCCAATATTTTAGTGGGGGTGATCACGCCTCCTCCTATTGTTATGGGGGGGAAAACATGCAATTCCTGCCGCTCTGCGCTACGCTCCGCGTTATCATGAGTCGCTGACCCAAGATGAGTATGCACACGTCTATTGTGTGAGAATGGCAAGGGTTGACGTGTAGAAGTTTTATCAATTGTGATGAGATGTTGTCACAGCACGCAGCTGCCTGCGAAGGTGCACCGATTCTGGTAATAGTCAATCGAGGGATACCCTGCGAATCGGGTCCTCCTCAACATCACATCATGGGTCATTGTAGACTTTTAATGAACGAATGAGGGCGTGTCAAACCTATACAGCAGTACGTACGTATGTCACGGAAGAAGATCGCAAGAAAGACCCGTAGCTCGTCCTGGCCAAGAATAGCCAGGTCTGGAAATATTAACAAATAACCAGGCACTTGATGATTACTTCATTCAGTCTTTTACGTGATCTTAAGGGTACCCGGACAACCTCCTGCTATGTTGCCTAATTTCGAAAACAAACGCAAGAGCGCCAGAAAATGCACTAGAGACACATAAGACCAGTCGGAAGGCATCGCAAAAAAAACAAGTCCAAAATTCTGGCACAGGGCAGCAGTAGAGACCGCTCAAAACGTGCTTTTCGCGCGTCTACCTCCACACGCATCCTTTGAAACCAAGATAAAAATCCACACCAGTCTAAATTCAAGTCAAAAGAGCCCAAACGGAAGGCGCTCAAATAAGGCCGGTGTTGCTAGGAACCTGGTCCATTGTACCAATATCACTAGAGGACACCCTATAGCAGCGGGGGGGTGTGTTGGCGCGCTCAAAACTTCTTCTGTGGTGGTGGTATCGAGTGTCGTTGTAGTGGCCCACCATCTCCGCAAATCTCCGCAAGTTAGATCGACACCCAGTGTCTTGTACTGCTTGTGCTCGCCGCCACTGAACCCAATCTTCTGAACTGCAGGTTTACAGCAGTAGCTGATGCCACCAGCTACTGCTGACAACCCGCAGTTGAGGGGTTTGCGGTCCGTGGTGGTGAGCACCGCTGTGACAAGTGTTGGGTTCCGCTTGGTTCCGGCGCAGATTTCGGACCGTTTTCAGAGGCTGCTGCGACCTTCGATATTTCAGCCCCAGTAGTATACCTTAACGTGCCAGCACGCACGACGCCTCTTGATGATATCCTCTACTGATACTAGCACAACGGACCAGGTTCCTCCGGCGGGAAGGTTGTTTTCTTTCTTTGCACTGTTATAAAGTATGAGAAAAGAGCCAGCGTCAAAATCCCTTGTCTGGGTACCCTTAACATGTGTGTGTGTTTTATTTATTAGCATCGACCGCGCTAGCCGGCTGACCAACGAAAAGGCGTCAGTCTCAGTCCGGTCGAAGCACAAAACACCTCTGAATGCCACCAACTGGGACCCCGTGAGGGGGCGGTATGGGAGAGACTAACCTATTCTCCGGATCACAGACAGTGCGTGTGTGTCCTTTCCTCCGGTTTGTGACTACAACGGGGTGATGGTGCATCCAAACGAATCGAGGGGTTGACAAAACTGGCGCCTAGCGGCGCTTGTAACAACACACACAAGTATCTTAAGGCATACAAATATGACGAGACGTCTTCATTAAAACCTCGATGCTAACAAAATGTTCGAACCGCAACATTTTCGACATTGAGAGGCATCCACAGCAATTTCAACTCACGCACCCCAACTCCACTTCAACAAGCAGTAACAAAACCAACCACGAGCGAACGTGGGGCATCCATCGGGTTGGAGGCAACGATGAAACCGGTCCTCAGACTTCCGACTCCAAGAAACAGCGGGCAAAGTGGTGTTTCCTGACGAAGCCTTTTGCCGGGAAAACCTTAACTACAGTAACCTCTCGCCGAATACTCTCAGAGCAAGGCAAGGCTAAACTCGTGTGTACAGAGTCGAGCGACAGCAGCTGAGCGGTAGACCTTGCCTTTTGCGCTCAAAATTAACGCTAGAATAGTTCAACCAATAGTTGAAAGCTATCTTGAGACGTTCGGGGAGCTCGGCTCCAGCGTGGCAGTGGCGTTGCCGTCGTCGCCAAGCTCTGTAGGCTTGAGCGATAGCCAGTACCACCTACCGAAAGAAGCAAGGAGCCCGTCACAAAATGATGCACGGACATATCACGAACAACAACGGGCATGGATCGACTGGACGCACCACACGGTGTACCAGGAGATCATAAAGAGTTCTTGAGCTGCCCATCGGCAAACATTCCTCCACCGCCAACATGACCCAAGAGAACGCCGAGAAAACATGAAAAACATGAAAAAGGGTGGCCTTCCCGTCATACGCAGAAGAATTAGTAAGGGCTGTGAAGGCAGCTACGTGCGGACGGTCAACAACGCAGGAACACCTGCAAACAAACTCTCCAGCAGGTCCGAAGTAACTGTGGCAGCCACTTTTTGGAATATTATTGAACACTGCTATAGCAGTCTCCGAGGGGTTCAAGACGAGGCATCAAAGCCATGCGCAATCAGAACCCGCGTCCAATGTGTGCCGATGCGTACGACCCGGACCCAGACCAGTGCGCCAATCGGAAGTATATCATCTCGAATGGTACGCTGTCGATTGGCGCACTGGAAAAGCGTTGTACCAAGATCCCACCTGCCGTAGTCTACGAATATCTCTTGGCCGGGTTGTATGTCCTTCAGCGCGACCACGAGCGCCTTGCACTCTTGCGGGAGCTTTCGGAAGGCCACATTGTACAGCGAAGAGTTTCGGCAGTCGTTGATGTATCTGGAGGGCGACGACGGACGGACGGACGGACGGACGGACGGACGGACAAAGGATATACCGCGACAGACAGGACACGACCCACCGCGGAACTTGGCCCCCGACAAGAGGGAAAGCAGTGCAAGAGTTAGTTTTTTCAGAGGGAGTCTCCCTTCCAGTGTTGGGGTAACATACCGCAAACGAGCACGGCTTGTTTGAAAATGATAACAACCACCATTGCGGCGAGTGCGAGAGGCACGGGGACCACATAATGAGGTAAAGCTTGAAAACAACTTTTTCTTTGTCCCAGCTGTTTTTGTGTATGTCCGTCGAACGAACTACTGTACGTCGTCATAGTTGTTGTGGGATGGATTCAAGGTATGCTGTATCTGAAGGCAGCTGCTGCTGAAAAGACACAAAAAAACGAGCGAACATCGTTCTGTGCAAGACCTCAAGGTCGCCCAATTCTTCACAAGCATCGCCGTGCGTTCGGAGGCGTCCCGTTTTCTTCGGTGTCTCCATTTTTTTAATGGTCTATCCTCGATGTATGGTAGTGCGCACCTCGCCATGACCTCCGGGTGGTCGAGGGCATCCACGTACACCTGCTCCCCGTCCAATGACCCCACGCAACGAGGGATGAACGTTTCGATCGTGAGGTTTGGTGAGGTTTGGTGAGGTTTGGTGAGGTTTCCTCTTTAACTCAAGGCCTGCCATAAAGGAAGTAGTCATTGTCGGAAGCGTGAGGTCGGGAGTTCGCCATGGTTGCCTCAGCACAACGATCATGACAAGATTTCTTCCAATACCCGGGTTTGAACGGGAAATACCATCGTCGTTCTCATTTGTGGGCCTCTTCTGTCATGCTTGCCATGCTTGCCAAGGTGGAAACTCGCAGATAATTCACGTAGCTTGATGAGCTTTGACTTCGCGAAGAGTTTTTCTCGGTAGAGTACGAGGTCACACCCCCCACCTCCCTCTCTTCTCGCCACGAAGTGCCGCGACACTTGCTTCCGCCTATGACTTGGGGGGGGGGCTTCGCAGCAGCTTCACTCACACATCCATCATTCATTGGTCAGCCGGTTACCGCGGTGCGGTCAATGCTAACGCAAAACACACACACATCGTATCCCCCATTTTACTCCTCACCTGAGGACCCAACCTCATCAGATAGCTCTTGTCTGGTGCCCTGCAAGTCGTGCAGCGGAACAAACAAGCATGATGCAATGACGGTTGGAGGAACTGCGACACAAGACGCTCTGATGCCGGAGGCGGACGGTGACTGCTCGCGTACGTGATGATTGTCTTACTACATAGAGTAGTTGTCGCGGCCCGCAAGGAAGAAAAACGTGCTTGAGAAAATGAAATGAGGCTGGACCTTTTGCGAAATAAGAAAAGTCGACCCCGAAACACACTTCACTTCAGCCGTGGATCCTACACTAAACTTTACCAGTGTATCATGACCTATGTATGCTCAGCGGTTTGTGACGAAATAAGAAATTGAGCCTTGAACCTAAATTGACGTTCCTTGTTCGCCGGCCGCAATAACTATAACTGACTGCTGCTGTAGACCGCACGTCGGGAGTATAGACTATACCTGAGAGCCTCCACCGTGCGCAGTTGACGCCCTGTGTACTCGCAGACCACGGCACCAGCGGTGAAATGCTCTCGGGCGAAGAGGCCTTGCCCTGCGCCTGGGATCGAGGATTGCTTGATTTCAAACGTCTTCGTGCCGGTGGCCGTGTGCGGTACAGCGAGTGGGGGGGGGGGCGTGCTGTCGTCCACTATTAGTCCGTGTCCGTATATACTTCTGAAGTATTACTTCATGAGCTAAAAAAGCTCGTCTCGAATCATGTATGTGCCTCCTTGCATCCGTACACCTGCACATGTTGTACCTATATATGTGTAGGGGGCGGCCTGCGAAGGTATAGACTAGCCTACAGAGTCTACGGCTGTCTACAGTAGATATTTGCTCATCGGCGATAGGTAAATGTGATCATCAATCAAAATTTGAAATAAATGTGGAGACTGCTGCATGTGTGTACTGCTGTACAGCTGAAGAACAGCAGTGTAGAACCACGAGTAGCTATCCCCGTATCGACCCCAACACACCTCTGTCTCAATACCTTTCACGTCCATCATGCGCACGTATGATGCACGTACATATGCATGTGCATTCGCCAAGGCAGTCACACAGCAAGAGCTGTACTTCAGACCTGCTTTGGTGTGGCACATGGTGCTCCTCAATCAATCCAATGTCAACGGGTTGTGTACAGCAGTATAGTGGATATTTGTTCATCGGCAACAATAGGTGAATGTGATCATCAATCAAAATTTGAAATAAATGTACGAGACTGCTGTATGTACTGCTGTTACAGCTGTACAGCAGTGTAGAACCACGAGTAGTTATCCCCGTATCGACCCCAACCCACCTCTGTCTCAATACCTTTCACGTCCATCATGCGCACGTATGATGCACATACATATGCATGTGCATTCGCCAAGGCAGTCACACAGCAAGAGCTGTACCTCAGACTTGCTTTGGTGTTGGCGCATCGTGCTCTGCAATCAATCGAATGTCAACGGTCGGGGTATGCCGTTTCGATGACGGAGCCCCCTCTGTTGCTGTGGTCTGTGCTCCCCGCTCCGCTGCTGCTGCTCCCCGTTCCTGCCCTGTCTCTCACCACGCGAACTTCTACTTCTCTCTCTGCCGTCGGCTCACGTGCCTGCTGCGCAGCCATGCTGTCGAATAAACATGCTGAGTGCAGCCATGCGCTCAAGCCTCGCTTGAAGCCCCTTGTGCTGGCTACGGTGATGATGGTGACGTCGTGTTCTTCGAGGACACCCGATGGCTTGATAGTCGTGTCCAGGCACGGCGTCAGGAGGCAGTTCCCGAGCTCAACGCACGACTTCAGCAAGTACGCCCCTGGGAAAACCTTCGAGACAGAAGACAAGGTCTGCTTTGTAATGGGGAGGTGCTGGGTTGCTTGACCATGGCAAGCGCAGTCAGGGTTGCTCTAGGAACAAAACGTTGATTTTCGACAGAAGGAAACAAGAACAACGTGCGGACAGACCGTACCCATCAGACTCGGTGCATGCTGTGGAAGACGATCCAGACGAACAGCAGCGGGGTCCGGCTTTCTGGTCTTAGTTCTACCTGTCCACAAAGCTAAGCCGCTGTCCTACGAGAGCTCTCGCGCTGAAGGTGGCCCGCCTTTCTACTGTCTGGTTCATCAGAGCCAATCAAAGATCCTGCCGCGGACACATATTTGTTGCGCCGTGTGCACTGCTGGACACAACTTTTACCGAAACAGGCACCAAACTCGGGATGAAATATAATAGGACCGGCCACACGTACACACGTACACACATCTCCACCACCTGTGATATGTTTTGTCCACACCCAGAGCCACAAGCTTGTCCGCACACAGGCACACACGTCCTGCGATCCCTGCTCAGACCCAAGCACCGCCTCTCGCCCTTCAAAAGTTTGATCGATTTCTTATTTTTGTCCGAAACGACTCCCACAAAAAAACATGTACGCTGTTTTTCGTGACCGTTGTGCAACGGTTTGGTGATTCGCAACTTATAGGTACCAGACAAGACACCAGGACAGCAGCAGTCCGACCAAGGTTGAGTCGTTTTATCATGTCGACTGAAAGCACTCATTCCTCTGCTGGCGGTAGGGGGGGGGAGGGGGGTGTAGCGCGTAGCGGGGAGGTTTCAGCAACGCGAACAACCCTACGACATGGCAACTTCTCTCCACCATGTGATAATCGATAGCCAGTACATACATAACCGTGTCTACACCACCGATGCAAAATTCAAATGCAAGTGTGCTATATTTGCTGTAGGTTCGGCGGCGTCACTCGCAATACTGCCATCCACACCACTGACCTTCACTTAGTAATATTCAGACAGGTACACTGCTGTACGCGATGTCCGGTAGAAAGCACCCAGTTACATAATTATTGTCCGTGTGTGGTAAAAAACGTGATCCAAATCTACACACCTGTAACCACTCCCTCCAATAACCGATGCTTGAAACACGGCAGCAGCAACAGCAGTTGTCCTCGAAACCGTTGCATGATCCAATTCGTCGGTTCGAATCCCGGCGTTTGTCTAATAATTTACCCTCTCCTGTCTTTTTTTATTTTGCCCTCTTGGCGTGTGCGGGTGCGCTCACGACCCTGCCGCCGCGCCCTCTCGTTTGTGTGTGAACAGGACTGGGGTGTGGACGGGTCCATGGGCGTCCTGACGCAGCACGGCTACGACGCCGCGCACCTAATGGGAAAGTTTCAGGGGCAGAAGTACGCCGGCGATGGGCTTCCCCTCGACTCTTGCTCGGACATGTTCGTCTACTGCGAAGAGGCGAGTCGTCGCTGCTGGTAGAGTTGGTAGGAGCGGAGGGGGGGGGGGGGGGG